GTAGATCTTGCTGGAAGTGAAAGAACTAACAGGACCAGAGCAGAAGGGAACAGATTACGTGAAGCTGGTGAGGAAAGCATGGTACTTCTTATTACAGCTTTCAGAAACTTGCATTCCTAGTTTATTAACTATTTCTCAATGGGTTGTTTAAGCATACTTGTCTTCAGTTAGTTAATTTAGAGGCTAAGTTAATGGTCAGTGCTATTTCTTTAGTTAGGCTAGTTTGATATAAATCTGTTACAAGACACTGATTTCTTAAACTCCTGGCCTCAAGTAATCCTCCTGCCAATATTAAATAAGTTATAATTCTCTTGTTAGTATTGTAGGTCATTATTGGGTCCTTATAAATTGAATGACTTAGCAACATTCATAGTTATAAAAATCAGCTTTTGGAGCTGGGAAAAATCTGAACTCAAAAGCCAGTTGAAGGGAACTCTACAAGTGAGTGTGTGGGTGTGTGTTTTAAACTTTCATCTGTTATAGCCATGGTGTTTTATGTTATGTTAATAACCGTTTACTGAGTATCTACTACTGTATGCCAGGAATTGAACATAGGTGTAAAGGTGAAGCCCTGCCAGAGAGAACCCTGCTTAGTACAAGAGATTAGTAGATAACTACATGATTTGAGTAGAGAACTATGGAAGTGAGCTCTAAGTAGGGCTTTCTAATCCAGTCCAGGGGTGCAGATGGGTGACACATAAATTGAATAGGAGTGAGCTATATGTAGAAGGGTAGGATTAAGGCAACATCCCTCCCAGAGAAAACAGCTGCTTCTGAACAGACCAGATCCTGAGAGAATATGGCAGACTCAACGTAACTGAAGTGGAGGTGTGGGTTGGTGAACTGTGAGCGCTGAGGTAGGAAAGTTAGGCAGGGTTGTGAAGTTTGAATTTTATCTTGAAGGAGTAATGATGGCTCCCAGTTATTAAGGCTCTAGTGTGTATCACAATATCTATTAGGCATGGGCTTGATTTGGGGTTCTGACTTCTTAGGATTGTATCGTACCTGTTATTCAGATGAGGAAATAGCCTGAGAGGGAGATTAAGTAATTTTCCCATGGCTAAAGCCTAGGTGAAACCCAGGTTGGTTGGACTCTCAGAACGTGGATCTTTCTATAATGCTATGTTAAATAGGCTTCCCCTTAACATCAAAGAAGGGTTAGTCTTTGAGAAAGAGTATTTTGCCAGTATACAGAATTAATTTACCAGGGGCAAACCTAGAAAGATGAAAGAACAGTTAGCACCCTTTGGCAAGCAGTTCAGATAAGCAATCTTGTGACCTGGAGGTAAAAGTCAGACAAAACTGAGAGCTGGTTAGGAAGTAGACATACCAGGATGTGGAGAATAGGGAGCAGTTTGAAGAACTGGTGTGGGAAGCTAATGAATTTTGTGTTTGATTATGTTCATTTTATACAGTGGAGGTATCTATAATTGAATGCAGAGGTACATGGATTTGGAATGAGAGAGATTTGACTTAAGGTTTCTAGGATTAGGTTTTGCCCATAGAGACATGAATAAAGCAATGGGGGAGATAAAATTATTCATGGAGAATAGAAGGGAGTAAGCTGAGGGAAAAGCCTTAATGACAAGCCCTTGAGATGATTAATTTAAAGAGTTTGGGAAGGAGAGAGAGGGTGGTAGCTTAAAGGGACTTGAGGGATACACATGTACACATTATATATGTATATTAGAAGATGGTAAAGACTTGAGTTTATTTATGAGCTGAAGACATGTAGAAGTTGAAATCCAGTGGTACAAAATGGGGCCTATTAGACCTGTCTCTACCCTGGGCCAAAAGACTTGCTATTTATTTGAATGGCTTGAGTCTTCTGAGAATGGACTTTGTCCATGCTATTGTTATATCCCCAGTGCTTCTTTGTTGCCCTCAGTAGAGTGCTGTGGCGTCACAGCTCACAGCACCCTCCAGCTCTTGGGCTTAGGTGATTTTCTCGCCTCAACCTCCCAGGTAGCTGGGACTACAGGCGCCTGCCACAACGCCCGGCTTTTTTTTTTTTTTTTTTTGCTGCAATTTGGCTGGGGCTGGGTTCGAACCTGCCACTCTCAGTATATGGGGCCAGTGCCCTACTCACTGAGCCACAGTCACCTCCCTATATCCCCAGTGCTTCTTATTAAGTATTAAGAAATATGAAAGTAATGATTGTTGGTGGAGCAGGATCCTAGAAGAGGCCGGATAATTTGGTTAATATATGTGAGGAACATGTATGATTGAAGTTAGGAGTGAGGAAGAAGCAAAGTGGATTGTAGTTGAGGCAGATGATAGGTGTCAGGGTCAGTAAGTGCCAAGTAATGATGGACATAAATACCTTGATCGGCAATAAACTGTAATGTGTAATAGATATAAAAATATCTATTATTTGTACTGATAAAACTCACAGGTATTACTAAATACTACAGTGTTTTTTGGCCTTATGTTCATAATTGAAGGAACTGCTCAGTTATAGTTAGAAGTCAGTAAAAGTAAACATGTATTTATATCCTATTGAAGTATGCAGAGTCCCTGCAATGTACCCCTGGACAACATAGACCTCCCCCAGGTTAAGAACTCCTGGCCATTAGGGAAAAAGATGAATGGATCATTCTGTGAGCGGTTTGAAGATGTAAGGAAATCTATTAATAGGAATATGAGTTCTTCAGAGCACAGTGGGAAAAGAAGGAACATTAGGAGTTTGGGTCAAGGAAGAAAAGTCATGAATCCTGGAGTATTATGGAGGTACAGATGAGTTCTGTATTGTGGGAGGTGTATCTTTGAGTGGCCAAGGATGACGGCATGATGGAGTTAACTGACCTCAATCAAGGTTCCAAAATCAACACATTCTTATGCACTTCTGGGTCTTCAGGTGAGATCTGCCTTCTTAGAGACTTGGTTAGTGTCAGACTTACCTTGGCTCAGAAATCCAATAGGTGAGCTGCCTAAGACATCCTTGTTGAGATGTACAGGGAACAGAGTTTTTTGGTTCCTAAGACACTTTGACTGTTAGAAACAGTAGGAGCTCCTCTGGGTGCAGGGGAGATTTCAGACTCTTAATGGAGCCAACTATAGCCTGAAATGGCCATGTTTTAGAGAAAATATTTTAATATGAGGATGTTAAACAGTTCTATTTAAGGTACTCTTTTGTAGAATTTGGAAGAAACCTTATGAATTATTAAGTTTATTGCTCCATTATTTGTAAAAATATTTTTCATCTTTCAAGCATGGTTATTGAACTTCTCCAGAAATAGTGCTATTCAAAGAAAGCCTGGGCAGCGCTTGTGGCTCAGTGGGTAGGGTGCCGGCCCCATATACCAAGGGTGGTGGGTTCAAACCCAGCCCTGGCCAAACAGCAACAAAAAAAGCCATTTGTTATGGCGGGCACCTGTAGTCCCAGCTACTCAGGAGGCTGAGGCAAGAGAATCATCTAAGCCCAAGAGCTGGAGGTTGCTATGAGCTGTGACACCACAGCCCTCTACCAAGGGCAATAAAATGAGACTCTGTCTTTAAAAAAAAAAAGAAAGGGCTCGGCGCCTATAGCTCAACCTGCTAAGGCGCCAGCCACGTACACCTAAGGTGGCGGGTTCGAATCCCCAGCCCGGACCCGCCAAACAACAATGA